TCACAAGATAACATAACAACCAGTTTTTTCTTTACATCTGGTGACAAAGACCACGCAAAATTATCGCAACATTCTCTACAACAGCAAATTAATAACTACAATTTCATATCAGGCTTCAGTTTTCTCGGAGTCAGTTCCTTCCACATCCATTGAAAAATGCCGGCCAGAAACTAGAAAAGACACTAAAATTAAACTATGTTAGATATTCAAGATACTTATTTACATTTCTTCTTTTTACCCTTACTTTTCTGCTTTTCCTAAGAGTTACAAATACTATGTTCAATAAATGCCGAAGTAATTAAGGATGAAATTTTCAAAAACGTTGAAGTATACCGATCTTTTCAACTTTTCTGGCAGATCTTGAACTTTAATTTTTCCGCCTAAATAACTCATTCGTAGTTCTAAGATGCATTCTCGTCATCATTATCTGTGACCTTTGTTTGTCATATCCTCATCCAGAGTACGATAGGAGTGGATATGTATTATTACTTTCTCGCAACGGAGTAGAGAGGTTTCTGGTAACGACAAAGTAGATAAATCCAGTCGCTACAAAAATCGTGATGAAGCCGGAATCCATGTTTTGTGGGCCCATGATACCGAATAATCGAATGACGGCAAAACGTATGTTCCTCTGTCCGTCCCCCTGCGAACAACGCTAGTGGCTATCCATTCAACCGATTTTCTCCAAAATTGATATTCCCCAATCGATCTGGCTAATGTCACGGCACCTTGAATTTGATACTGAAGTTTTAATTTTGGAGAGTACTTTACAAGAAGCTCTTGGACATTTTCTAAATTTTCAAAGAAATGGCTCCATGTTTTTTTTATTAAATTGAGTTTGTTGGATAGTGTAAAAGACGTTTAAGATATCGGTGCAGATCTCAAGTTCATTAAAAACCCTAATTTTACGAAAATTGCAAAATTGCAAAAATTTTCCGGCGTCTTCGTGCGACTAAAATGTCAAAAATAGATATTTTTTCCCCTTAATGAAATCTGTTGCTTTAAAGATCGATTTTCAAATAAGGTTACGTATATGATTTTGAAAATTGGAATATTTTTCGCGTAATTTTGCTTAAAAATACGAGCGAGAAGGTATGTGCTGTTTTAGCATACCCAGTTCTTAGAGAATATTGTATTTTTTAGAAAACCATTTTCTTCCCGATGTCAAAAATATTTCTCCGATGAGACAACCAGTAAATGAAGATGACTGTATATTAAAGAGAAGAGAATTGCACCTAAATGCTTCTCTCATTCTTTATAAAACTGTTGTTTAGGTTTTTAGGTTTTGCTGATCTTAGTTTTATTGTGAGTGTTCATTCTCTAAAATCCGTGTTACGTACCTTACAATTAACCTAACCTCGTGTCATGTAACTTCGCAGGTCACTTATTCTACACAATTTTAATAGCCAGTGTCTTAACGCGTCTTATTACGCTGTCAACCACTTGCAAACGGGGACAAAAGACCCGTTTGCAGACTTTCCCATGGCGAACAAGGGAGGGCACAGGGTCAGCGGAAGCTTGTTAATCTCTTATTGTTATTAAGTGGCGCTTCCCTCGGCAGGTGAACACCGTGACGCACCACATCACAGAGTACGTGCCGCTGAGCTCCAGCGCGGACCCGGTGGCGTCGGCGGCGTCTCCTGCGGGCGCGGAGCAGGGCGCGGCCGCTGCGTCCGAGCCGGCGCCAGCC